TACGTAACTAGCGACGTAGCACACACACACACACACACACACACACACACACACACACACACAAGGCAAGGGCTGCCCCTGCCCAGATGTTTAGCAAGCACCCAGCACATCAAAAACTGGGATGTAAAATCCATCAATAATAAAATGCACTGAAACTTGTTCTGTTTTCTTGCTTTAACTTTAATCCACAGCTATCCAGGGAAATAGCTGTCTCTTTGTTGTACCCCAAATTTTTCACTGCAACAATGAGGCTAGAACTCCTGCCTCAAAAGTTCAAGATCCTGCCAATGCTGCTAAAGGAGAATCTCCATCAAACTGCAAGCAGTATAGAGCCTATGACACAAAGTTGAGCAGCTCCGATTCTATCCAGAAAAGGGCTGTGATGCACACATCCACAATAGTGAAGGCACGGAGAGTACAGTCTACAAGAAGGTGATGCTCCCAGCTCATGTAGACCCTATGTGGAGGGTCCCTTAGGGAGGCAGGAGAACTGGATTCTAGCCCCCAATCTGCCATTAACTCAGTGTGTGACTTAGGAGAAAAGTATCAGGGGGTAGCCGTGTTATTCTGTATCCACAAAAACAACGAGGAGTCCACTGGCACCTTAAAGACTAACAGATTTATTTGGGCATAAAGCATTCATGGGTAAAAAACCCACTTCTTCAGATGCATGGAGTGAAAATAACAGATGCAGGCATTATATACTGACACATGAAGAGAAGGGAGTTACCTCACAAGTGGAGAACCAGTGTTGACAGGGCCAATTCAGTCAGGGTGGATGTAATCCACTCCCAATAATTGATGAGGAGGTGTCAATACCAAGAGAGGGAAAATGGCTATACCCTCCTGACGCCACGGATCTGCGGCTTCCCTGTTATCCTAACGGGGACAGACTACCAAGAACCTGGCCAGGAGAGGTCACTTCTTGACAAGGACGTGACAAACGCAGAGTCGGGTGTGGCTGAATAGTGGGGGACAGAGCAAGACTAGTGTGGCCACATGGGGGCGCTAACAAATCAAGACCCCCCCCCCCCATGGTAGATGCCCAGTTCTGGATGGGAAAACTTTGGAAATCACAAACAATCTATCGGACAGGGAACCTGTTTCCCAACCAGCCCTACTCCGGTCTTCAAAGTGAGCCCGAAAATGTGGCACTCTTCCGCTGCCCACCAAACCTAAACTGGATCCAAATTCTGCAGCTTGGGTCAATCTCTAAGGAAACCCTCCTGAAAACAATAACAAAGGAATGTCCATATCGGTATCCCCATTGCACTGGAGGGGACACTGAGGCACAGAGAGGGAAAAGGACCTGGCCAAGGTCACAAAGCAAGTTAATGGCAGACCATCATGCTTTACTGCCCCTGTGCTTGTGTGACACAACTGCCCTCTACAGCAGTGTTTTTCAAACCATGGGTCACGACCCACTACTGGGCCAATGGGAACTGGGGCAACCGGCCAATGGGAACTGGGGGGGGGTGCCTGCAGGCAAGAGTCGAGCGGAGCCGCTTGTGCGCCTCCACCTAGGAGCCAGACCTGCTGCTGGCCGCTTCCAGGGCACAGCGCAGTCCGCAGTGCACCCTGGCTGTGCTGCTGACCGGTAGCCAGTGGAGATAAGTCCGCGCCCCAATCCCCTGCCCCAGCCCTGAGCCGCCCCAAACCTGGAACCCCTTCCTGCACCCCTAACCCCTCATCCCCAGCCCTAGACCCCTCCCACACCCCAACCCCCTGACCCAGCCCTGAGCCCACCCCAAACCCCTCATCCCTGGCCCCACCCCAGAGCCTGCCACCCCCAGCCCAGAGCCCTGACCCCCTCCCGCACCCCAACCCACTGCCCCAGCCCTGAGCCCCTCCCACGCCCCAAACCCCTCATCCCTCGCCCCACCCCAGAGCCTGCACCCCCAGCCCAGAGCCCTGACCCCCTCCCGCACCCCA